AAGTTACAGTAATTTACTTTCAAAACCTTTAGTTATACAAATCGAGAAAACTCTAAAAGAATGGAAACCCATGTTCATAATACTTGCATCCTAATTCTAAAAGTTAACATCATTATGAACTTTATGATTGATCAAAAAAAAAAAATTCTTCACAGTTAATAAAGATCGATCTTCACGCTTAGAGAAAAACTCCACTAGCGTTCAGGACTTGTGAGAACGCCACTAGGCACCAGCACTTGCCTCTGTCTGGTGTTTCGTCAGTTAGAACTTGTTTCGAAGTGAAATGCGTAAACTTAACTCGGTGCGTTATACATTCCCTACTATATTGCATTATTTGTGAGAAAAATAATAACTGCAGTCAAAACAATGTGTGACAAAAATGCGACCAAAGCGGTGTGTGTCGAAGCTGTAATGTGTGAGCGAAAAACGTGAATTTCCAATTTCCATTTTAAAGTGGCATTAACCCTCCAGGCATTCTGCTTCGGCTGCAATCTGATTGGAAATCAGCGCGGTCAAGCGCTGCTATCCTCGTGCGGGGATTGAAGCCATGAACAGGCCTCTCGACGGCTGCGTATCTCCCCGGCCGTCATCGATGTATACCTCAAAGCACTGGCGACGCTGTGGTCTGAATGACGGCGTCAATTTGACAACTGTCAGAGTTCGCCGGGTAGCTGCAATCTACTGCTCTTCTAAAGCACGTTAATGGCTTATTGATTGGGCGGCGAAGTCATGCAGCCTCTCCCGGAGAGGTAGGGAAAGTAGTTCTTTTCTCTCGTTCCCTGAAAACTGATTTGAATTCTTTTGGAGCTGATGCGACACCTGGTATGTATGCATGGGTATGCAAGGAATGTTACTTATTAAATGGAATGTTTTATGTATTTTTAAATAAAATATTTAAATGACAAAACAGCAAACTATTTCGAGGATTAGAGTGCCGAGAAGTTAGAAATTCTTTGTAAATTCTGTTACGGATGTTTTTAGGATCATGAAGAAAAAAGGTTGTAACGTTGAGATTTCTTTTGTAGATTTTAATGATGAACAAATGAGGAAAACCTGTATTATTTTGTAGACAAAAATACCTGCAACTTGAATATTTACATCAATTTTGGGCTTGCAATGCCATATAAATTACTTTAGACGTTCTTGTAATGGTCGTATCATTGGACTTTTTGATGTTTCACTTTATTCCCTTGTATTTTTTTACAATATTTTCAACTAACTACATCTGAAGAAATTGAGTTACAACAGTTTCATTTTAAACTATTCAATGTGGATTTTCGTTTCAACATTTAGTCACTGCACCGAGTTGGGTTGTAATTCCTAAGAGTAATATAATACATAAAAAATCTTCCGTGATAAATTATGACTCTCATGGCTCTTAGGTTTGACTATTATTTCGAATTTTACGCGAGAGAGAAATGTTCTTTCTCTTTGCAGTAAATTAGAAGTAATGCATTCTAATTCTGGCAATCTTTCTAAAAACTGAGTATGATTTTTTTTGTTAGATATATGTTTCAGCTAGCGTTATAAATATACAATGTATGTCTTTACTTTCATTCGTGGCTTCTCGTTTTTGTAAACAACTGATGTATACCAAGCCCCCCCAATTTAAAAAATAATAATTATAAAATAAAATATTTTTGCAATTGGAAGAGCAGAGTTATGTCGAGCTAGAGTAAATATTTGAGTCTAACTTGATAAACTTTGTTGCCAAGATATTAATCTATATTTATGCACACTTCGTTATTAACTTTTTGAATGTGATAGCGCATCGAACGCAAATATTGGAAAAGAATATGCATTTCATAAGACTATTACAATGCCGCGTTATAAACATTTAACCGATAAGATGAGGTTTATATTTGGATCTAATATTTATAAAGCATCAATTATTCCTTTCATACAGAACAGAAAAGTTTCCAACACGTGACAGAACAACCTCGTTATTCATCGAGACCGAGGGATACAGGGTCCTTAAATATTCGCCGTGTGGAGCGAGGTGTCGTCTGATTGGCTCACGCGCAATAACTTCATCGAAAGCGCACGAGTTTACTCCAATATTCGATCGACTAGCGTCGGGCTGATGTGAATAGTTGCAAAAGAGCGACTTGTGCGCAGATAGAAAACTTGGTTTTCTTAACTTAACAATCCTACAATGCAATTAATTCATTGGAAATATTAATCGCTTTACATGTCAGGCTCTGGCAAGAAAAGACTTTTTCGGTAGTGGGAATTTATTTTAACTACTTTTTATTTCAATATTACGCACACATTGGATTGTGTTCATTAAAAGAAAAAACAATAAATCGTATTTGGAAAAACATTTGTTAAATTGACATCACTGGAAAAGGTGCGGGAGATCAATTTTCCACATTCCTGCTACTGAAGCTAATGTTTCAAGTGTGGGTTAGTATAATATTGATTATAATTCATTGATAATTATAGTCAATTCCGCCGACGCCATTTTAAATATAAAGTAAATGTGTGTAGAAGTTTTGAAGAATCCTATACGGCTAGTAAGAATTGGTGTTAGAAAATTGCTGCCATTGTCTGTCGTTGTAAATAAGTCGTAGTTGTAAGGCAACAAAAATCATTTGCAAATAGTGAGCTAATATTGCACTACTACAAATCTAGTATTGTTCATTTAGTTTTAAAAATCATCTTTTATTTTCTTTATTTTTCTTCTTCTTTTATGCTTGCATCTAGATATGAACGCAAACTCAAGGATACAGATTTAATACCATAATCGCTATTGAGCTATAATAGAGCTCAACAAATCATTACTGGGAATAATGAATTAAAATTTTCTAATACTATCTGTTTGTGAACAGAAATGAGTTACTATATAATTGTAAAAACAGTGCAAGTCTGTATCTGACATTCGTCGAAGGAGAGGAGAAAAGTTTATGATAAATGTTCGGAAACAAAGGTAACGATGTATGTATATTTTTATACGATATTCAAAACTCTACTTTGAATTATTCCTTTGACAGAATGTGTGTCTCTTCCCAAATCTAAGCAATGGAGAAAAACACAACTTTTTTCGCCAAAACCATTATTTTTTTCTATCCTGAAATGAACATTTTCCAGATGCTTCACAAAAAATGAATATGGTAATGATAATTAATGTGTAATAATGACGAATGTTTAAATGAAGAGATAGAAAGAAACATCCAAACTTCTCTGTGTGAACCCTTTATGTAACAGAAATGTCTCAAAGGATAGATCAGAATTCACCGCAGGGTGTCAGAAGGGAGAATGGCGGCAGTAAATACAGCTACGGACGATCGTCGGCACTGATTGGAGAAAACATATTCAGTTCTATAAAACAAATTTATTCACATGTGTAAATCACTAGTAGATATATTGAATAGAATTGCGCTTATTGTGCTTTGAATCCAAATTATCTGACTGGCGGGGATACCCAGTTACCGGGAAGGGCAACACAGTGTGAGACGATGTATCACGCGAAAGGAGTATCAATGGGGAACCGGAAGTTCCCTAGAGCAAGGATCGCGGAAGGACCTTGGAAACGCTGGTGGTGGGGTGGCTGAATCAGCGTGGTGTGGGAAAAAACAGGGGGGGGTGCGAGGGGAGCGGTGGCGGGGATGGGGAGGTCTGGGCGAGGGAGAGGGGCGGGTGTAGGAGCGGGGCGCAGGTGTCGGGGCAGATGGGGGCTCGCGACCGTCGCAGGCGCGCGATGATCGGTCGGGAGGGTGGTACTGCGTGGGAGGTCGGGCGATGCGTGGGAGGGGGCGATGCGTGGTATGAAGGGGGCGATGCGGAGTTAATCATTGCTGTCAGATGTCTGATACGGGGGATCTGGTCGAGGGGGCGCGATGCGTGGGGGGGGGCGGGAGAGGAGGGAAGCGGGAAAGGCGATACTGGCACAACAGGGGAGGGGAACTAAATGTGATGAAGATGGGCGAATCCGGGATCGGGGGAGGGCGAGGACAGGATGCGCAGGAGGGGCGGCGCGCGATGACGTGGAGGGGGGGGGCTCGAGGCGTGGGCAGGGGGGCGCAGCGCCACCGTTGGGGACGGGGGCGTGAGGGCGCCGTGGGAAGGGGGGGCATCGGCGTGGAGGAGGCGAACCGAGATGAAGAGGCAGTGGGGAGGCACAGGCGAGGCCGCGTCCGGGTCGAGGGGACTCGTGGGACAACTAGAGATCTCCTGATTTCAGCTGGACTTGCTCTCGGTTGAAGGCCCCACCCCGGAGTTTTGGACACGGTCCCCGCCGTGAAAAATTGTAGCCAAACCCGCGGCCCCCCGCCGCCTCCCGGCCGGCGCGAGGGGCGCCGGGGCCGCATGCGCGTGGGGAGACGGGGGCGGGCGAAGGCGGCGTGCGGCGGGGCCGTGGCGCCGCGTGGGGAATTGGGGATGAGTAACCTGCAGGGTGAGAATATTGAGAGTACATGGCTAGGACGATGGTCAGAAACCTAGGGAGTAAGAGGTTCAGCGATTGGAATGAAGAGTACAAGTTAGGAGAGTCTTAAGGGAGTAAAACATACGTGGAGGGTAGGATTATTTTAATTCGGTTTTGTGTATGAAGGCTGGAATTGAAGTGAGTACTGACATGAGTGGGATTAAAAGTGTATATTGTGCGAGACGTTTTGAGTAAAAAATATAATATCAGGCTCGAGGTGAATAAGAGTCCGGGGATGGGGTGAAGGATATAAGAGGTGGTAGATACTGGCCAAGTCTTAGTTTAGTGGGATATGAAGGGTATTTTTTGTTACTGTTACTAGTTGTTAAGGGGATATAGTGTATTGAGGAGAGAATTTGTGCTGTTATAGTTATGAATTATCAAGGACAGCCGATTTTGATATATGATGATGTCATTGGTGTATTATATATGCGGGACGAGGGGGCTGTAGGAATAACTAGGGCTGGGGTTTAGAGGGGGCGAGAGGGTGTGAGCGGTATCGGGTGGTAGCATGCGTGAGTGATAGCGTGAAGAGGCAAGGGCGTCGTATAGAGCGCGGGCTCGGTTGGTTTAGTAACGCGCCCGGCGGCGGCCCGCGTCTCCGGCGCCTGCGTCGCCCCAGCGCCGCGCCGCCTTTGCCCACGCGCCGACGCATACGCGCGGTGCGGGGCCCCGAGCAATTTGCCAGCGCCTCGCCGCGCCGCGCCGCGCGGCGGTGATTGTGCCGCAGATTAAAGCGGACGGCGCGCTCGGCTACCCGAGCCGCAGCAGCCGCCCGTTGCTTCGCCTTCTTTCCCCGCTGCTCGGCCTCCTAGGCGAGTGAGTTTGGAAGGGCCATCATCATCATCATCATCATCATCATCATCATCATCATCATCATCATTATCATAATGAAGGTCCAAAAGTGCCTTGTCGCTGCCGCCATGACATTCTGCCCTCTGTTGTCCTTTTCATATCTGCATAGTTTTTGAATTGTAATTGGATTTGAAGTTATGCATTTTTTTTTAATTTAGGTCCCCCTCTTCCTCTTTTCCCAACTATTTTATATTCCGAAATTTTATTTAAGAATTCGTTGTGCCTAAGAATGTGCCCAATAATTTTGATTTCCTGTTCCAAATGGTTTTTAATAGGGGTGTCTTCTCTTTCAGTTTTTCTAAAATTACATAGTTCGAAATTTGTTCAGTCAAGGCAACCTTCACTATTTTTCGCCACAACCACATCTCGCTAGCTTCTAAACAACATCTGCCCATTTTCAAAAGCGTCCATCTTTCACATCAATATAATAGGACATTCCAGATATAACTTTTCAGACATTTCTTTCTAATATTCAGAAGAATATTTGGAAGGTTGAGTGAAGTGGAATTATGGGATTTAATAAAATAAAATGGCGGAGTGTTGCAATGGAAACTGGAATTGATGTGGTTCAGTGCAATAGTGCATTTCAAATGTAATGTAATGCTACAGAAGTGGATTGTTCAAAACACATTTTGTAATTCAGTTTTTAGTTATACCTGTTTACTTAATCAACGCTGCTGGAATAAAAATTGTGGACCTCTTCTGTTTGTTGGAACAAACGCTTCAGCCCCTTTTTTGTGTCGACCAAGACCGTGTCATCTTCAGATTGTATTCAACTCTCTAAATATGAAACCAGCTCATATCAAGTGATCAGGAATGAGAAATTGATGTAATTTTTAAAATTGGATTTAAGATAGAGTAAAATGCCTTCTCTATACCTTAATCACTTGTGGATCATTACAAAACGCGCCTCTTTACTTGAAACGTTTGTTTTCTGACGCACGTTTAAGACAAGGAATAGTATCTATTTTGTCCAACGAAGATGTGTTCAGAAGGGGGGAAATAACACAACCTCCAAAGGCAATCATAATAAATCTGTAAAATTTGTTTTTTATTCATTTATTTTATTTTGACTGTTTTGCTGATTGTGAGATGACTAGGTTGCGGTATTGTTTTATTCAGGTTGAATGTGAATGCAAAGTAATTTGCTAGTTCTTTGGTATTCTGTGTAGGCGTATACACTTTTCCTGTGGGCGTGCCTAGTGGGAGAATAGTATTCTTTTTACTTTCCCGTGTACATACATATATACGGAGTAATTGTTAGCATTTCGTGATGGAAGTAAGGTTTGAAATTGCTGATTGTTGAAGAATTGAGTGATTTACGTCCAATGTTAAATTGTAATTTTAGCCCTGGTGCTCTTCGTTGCGACCATAGTTTACTTGTTTAGCTTTTGATTTGTATGTTTCACTAATTACGAGGTTATTTTGTTTATCATTGTTTGTACTCTTTGGTTTTAATTCAGCCTTTTTTTAATTTTGATGTGCATTATGGTGGATAGATGGTTCATTAGTTGTTCTGTTTCTAGTGGGTTGAAAGTAATTTTGAATTTATGTATTATTGTACTAGTTAGCTTGTGGAACTTTTTCCAGTCAATAGTTATATTTAGATTTGGTAGTCGGCCGTGCGATGGGAGTATTCGCTATGTGGTTATTAAGACCGGAATGTGATCTGAGTCTAGTCTGAATAATGTAGTAGTGTGTAGTTTTATTTTAGTGCCTGTAATTCCGATATCGAGGATATTGAGTTATCTTACGCAATCATATGGATAATATTTGGAGCCTGGAGGCGCAATTATTTTGAGATAGATACTATATGGGCTAATATTTTACCATTAGCGTTATTTTATTTCAATGGTTCTTTGAAGGAGTGAAAATTTGGATGAGAGTAAATTATTTTTGAAAATATTTAGGTGAGTATTCACTTTTTTTAACTTCATTGTTATTTTTAATCTGCAAATAAATTTGTAGTGACATTAAATTTAAATTCTTTGATCACTCCATTAATATTGGTTATGTCTCCTATGATTGGTGCTATTTTACTGGAGTTATCACTTTATTCAAAGAGAAGTTATTAATAAGAGTTACTATATTTTCACTTGCTAGCTTATCTAGTTCACTCAGAGGTCCAAATTTTCACCGGCACATTCATTATTATAGACTTAGATTTTATATTTAGGTCATTGTTTCTATCGTGATTGATACTATTTTTTGGCTCCTTGCTCTATATCACTGTTTGTTACTGACCTTATGCTAGAGCTTGTGGAATTCCTTCCTGTAGCTGAACCATCGAGGGTTGGCTAAGTTGAATTGGTTCCGTGCCATCAGCACTGTGGGTAATTTTCTCCAATGTTACCTCTATTTCGTCTCCGGTGAATTGGTTTGGATTATCTGGAATGAAACTTTCCATTTCTGCTGGCGGAATCTTACTGTTATTAACAGGCAATGGAGTACTTACGACTTCTCTTTTAGATTTACGACTATGCTTGTCAGTGTTTTACGCTTTGAGATGTCTTCGAGGCGAGATTTATTTACATGTCATTTCAGATAAAACTCGTGTTGTGTTAATGAAATTTGCAGGTCGATGTGGTCGAGGTCATACGTTTTCAATAGTTTCCAGAATTTAAAGAGGTAGTGGTAGGGATTTTTAACAATATCATTCCCCTGTCCAAACCTGCGCTCTCTTTTTTGTGTAGCTTTACGTATTTCTTTGATCTCGCGGATTTCCGTGATTTTTTTCTGCTTCTAAGAAGGTAAATATCTATTTTATATTTTTTGAGAAGACATATTTTGTGACATCGATATAAATGGTTTCTCTTTCGATACTTTCTACGAACACTATGTAGAAAAACTCGTTTTATTTTTGAGAAAAAAATCTTCGGCTGGTGGCAACATTTTCCACACCAACTACATATAAAAATTGAATTCAGCCGGGCTAAAGCGACGTGTAAATAGTTTTTGTGGTTCAGGTAAGAACCACGGAATTTCCAATTGATACCTCAGCTACTATTAGGAGGAGAATTCTGGCGGTCGGCTGTTCTAATCGACAGTTTTCCGTTGTTTATCCAATCAATACCATGCGAATGCCGGAGGAGTGCCCTAACAAACGCGTTACGAACCGCACGCGATATTTCCTTCCCATTCTTTGTCTTGTCCTCGCCCCTTACTTACACACACGTACACTTACATGCTCCAGACTACCGGAAGACCCTACTACCTATACACATGCCGGAAGACCAGTCGGGAGCTTAAAGCGTGACCCAGCAGAGGCGGCCCTTAAGTTGGGAGACACCTAGTTGTGGAAAAAACCGTAAGCCGACAGTTAGGTCAGCGCCGGACCTCGCTATCCAGCGGAGGAAGTTGGCCGCTACCACTCGCGATAAAAGCACATTTACAGGACTAATGTCCACAGCAGTTGACGCGTTCGGAATAGCTAATCAATGAATCATTTTGTCTCTCTCATCACCTGAGTTTTACCGTTGGAAGTTTGCGCAGGGTATTCAGTCGTGGCCGCCGCCTTTCGCCTCGCTTCCCCCTCGCCCTCCGCCGCCCTTCGCCCTTTGGCCCGTTGCGTTCGGCGCTCGCCGGAATTCGTTTCCAATTAAAAGTCGCTCGATCGCGGAGCTGCGCGGCGCGGGCCTACGGGCGCTTCGTAGTCGATGCCTCCTTTGCCAAAGCCCTTCTCCTTTCTCTCTTTTTTTTCACGGCCGCTTCACAGAAGAGTTGTAAAACCTTCCCCATAATGAGTTGAAAGTTCACGTAAATGCGAAAGCTTCGTGATTGGCTTTCTGTTGGGACAGAGTCGGTGTAAAAAAATATATATAATCGAAAGCTTCAGGAGTGATTTTAGACGGTTAGCTTTACAAATTCTGTTGCTTTGTTGCTTGGGGAAAAGGATAAATCGGATAAACTTTGAAACTCGTTTGGGAGACAGTTTTTATCGGTATTAAAATTAAAAGTTTAATTTCGAAACAACATTGAATAAGACCAGATCATTCGGGATACATAGTATTAGTGCATTTTGGGGGAAATCCTGTGAGCAGTTTGGGCGGTAATGTTTTCTACGAACGACATAAAAAACCGAAGTTCTTTTCAGTCGTACAGGTTTTGAAGCAATACATAATTCATGCTGACGTCTGTACTCGATACATTACGAATTTCTGTAATGTAAAATTGCTCAGCAATAATGTTAACAATGTAAATTAGTTATATTTATGTAATGTATTTTGTTGACTTTGTCCAGGGCAACAGATATTCTATATAAAAATGATTATATTTATTTTCGGTTAGTAAATTAAATGTTCTCATTATTTCAACGAAAAATTATTGAATTATTATTTGCAGGAGTGAAATTAAAATTCAACCATTATTACAAATCAAGAAACATTCAGACCATTCAGAATCATTTTTATGGACATAATCTATTACGTTTTTTTATAATGTAAAATATCACTCGCAAGGCATTGGTTTGACGCTATCTCAGAACAAAATACGAAGCATGAATAAATTAAGTGTATAAATGCAAATCATATCATTGTTTTGAAGTGTAAGAATATTGCAAATGTGAAAAAATCATAAACACCAGTTCTATTTACCCGCTATGTAATCAAAACCTCTTGTGAATTAGAAGAAAAAGCCTTTTCCATTTTTCATAATTTATAAATATTACATTCTCTCATAAATGCGTTTTCTTTTGGTGGGAACTAGTGTTGGCATTGGTGTCTCAGCTTCTAATATTGGATCCGGATTATTATGCATTCCATATTAATTGTTTTCTTATTCTTTGAGTCTCTATGTAAATCATAATAATTTTGGGAAATGTTTATTAATGAAATTAACAAAACTCATCCACGCACGCCCACA